TAGATCTGGTTGCAACAAGCAACTTACCTCCACAAAATTTCTAGATAGTAGTAAAAAAGTAACAAGAAAATAGCAATAAAATGAAATGTGATTACGGTTTGAAAGGCAAATCAGTCAGAAAACTGCCCCAAATAGGCCCTAACTCCGAAATGACATCATATTAACGAAATTTCAATTTAGTTTGATTTTTTTTAGTTTATTTAATGATTTATTTGATAATTTATTTCTTATGTTCATGAAATAACCACTTTCATATTTTTCTTTTTTAATTTTCACTTGTTATTGAAGAAGTAATCATTTACAAACAAAAGATAGTGAAAGTTGGATTCAACAAGACTTTGATAAGGTAAGTGATTAAAATATTTTATCATGTGAGATAATATTCTCAAGTAAAAAAATGTGCATTATTGTCAATCATAATTGTATTTTATGCAATAATTGAATGGATCATATAAATAAAGCTAACCATTGTGGACTTTCTATCTCCAATAAAAAAAAAAAACTTTTCCAATTGCAATTTATTATCACAAATTATTAATCTTGTTAAGAAAAAAATTGTGTTGTCATATTAAGCCAATGAAACGCAATTGACTATTTTGAATCAATATCATGCATGCTTAGGCTCTAACTGATCGTCAAGATTATGGTAATGGCCTAAAATTCGGTAGAGCTTCTTTTTTTTTTGGTGTAAAAATAAAATATTAATATAATTCTTTTTGCTATAATATGGATTTGTTGTTTTTGTCAAAAATGTACTTAAATGATTAGAATTTAATTATATTTTTTGCAAATAATAATAATAATAATAATAATAATAATAATAATAATAATAATAATAATAAGAGAAAATTCTATATATTATTGATATACATATAGATTAACTTAAGTTAATTTTTACACAATTAAGATTAAGAGTTTGTTTGAGATGACTGTAATTTTTTGTAAAGATTATTGAGAAATGATTATTTTGAAAACTACTATAAAAAACAACTCCCTAAAACTAAATTTTTTTAAAGCAATTGAAAAGTAGTAGCCTAATATAAATTATGATTACAGTCTGAAAATCCAAACAATAAAAAAGTTGTCCCAAATGAATCCTTAAAATTTGTTTGGGATGGTCACAACATTTTATAAAGGTGGTTTCGAAGATGTTGAGATCAAGTAAAATTATTTTTTTGAAACTTGACGTGGATATTTTAAACATGTTCATTAAAAAAATCAATGCGTTGCTATCTTAAAATCACATATTATTAACTCTGATTTTAAAAATTAGCATATCGCCTTAAAAATTTCTTAGAAACAGTGAGAAAACAACAAGAAATCAATAGTCAAAATGAAAATTTAGCTGCAATCTAAAAGAAAAGCAATGCGAAAGATATCTCAACTAAACCCTAAATATTTTGACTTAAAGTAGAAGATATAACTAAATATACTTTCAAACTAATTTATTTTATGAGGATATATATACCTTATCTTAATTTTGGTTTATGCATTGAGTAATGTAGATAGGTGTACCTGTCTTCTTCCTGACTTTGATTTTGAGTAATACTTTTATAAGATATGTTAACTCACATAAATATTGATCATGTCCATCTTCTTTTATTATTTAGATATATATTCATTTTACATTTAGTTTATCATTATTATACTTGAATGTTGTATGTTGGTTAAACTAAGAAAAATTATTTATGTTTTTTTAATTAAGTTCATTATCTCTATTATGTTTAGTATATAATTACACATCTAATTAACATAGTCTATCTTTTCATTATATATGCTTATACCTATTATTCAAATAATCTCAATTAGCTTAATCATTTATTTAGCACTGTTACTTTGTTATATAGGTTTAACTAAGTTTATAGCATATTATGCAATAATATATTTGAATATAACATTACTTTTATGCTATATTATTATCACCATAACCTTCGCATTATTTATGATTGATTATATGGGATTTAACTTAGGAATAATTCTACCATAACATTCAAGAAAATAGAGTGAGAGGGTTTAACATTTTAACATTATATAAAGATTCAACACATATAACAATAAAAAGAGGTCACAAAAGACACTAGAGTTTTATGTGCATGGAAAATCTAGTAAAGAGAAAAGACCACTAGACCTGCCCAAGTTTAAATAATTTTACTAGTATTTAACTATTTATCACCGATTACAAATGTTAGCATTTATAATTAGGTAACGTATTAATGAATGATTTATAGTAGATAAAATGTATTTTATGGTGAAAGTTAGATGAACCAAATTGCATGGGAGCTATTGCAACCTTAATGCCTATATGACGAATTGAATTTAGACTTACTTTCACTATTTATTTGCTTATTCTATTGTAATTTATCATTTGACTAGAGCCAACAAATCATCCCAAATCATATAGAATACACATCCAGAGAGTACGTATAGAATATTTCTTTCAAAATATTAAATAACACTAGTCCAGATTAAAATGATTTCAACAAAACTAAAAAAATAATTTGAACTACAAAATTTGATGTACTATTGATATGTAATAATTAAATAAAGTAATACAATTACCATTTACTTCATAGTTTTGGGTATACTAGTTCATCTATGAAAGTAAATGCAAAAATGCACATATATAAATGTCACTTATATCTCTCAAATTTCACCTCCCACCAGCTACAGACAAGTGCATAGTAGAGTCAAAACATAGTAGAGTATATTCTAATATAGAGCTATCTCAGAACCAAAGTAGAGCAAAGTAATCTAAAACACAGATATATCCACTTTGGACAATAACAGATAAATTCAAAGCATACTTCTTTTCCACAACAGAGCTTCAAAATATCATGAAATGCATGGTAACGCAAATGCAATATGTAACTGAAGAATTTAAATCAATTAGAAGTTAAATGCAAGCTTCTATAAAAAAAAAAACCCTCACATTTCAAGTTCTTATACAGAGTTCTCAGAAGTTCTAGAAATTTTACAAAGATTTTATAAAATGCTAAATTAACATACTTTGTTAACTATACAGATCAGGTTAAGAGATACCACAATTTTCTAGAATGATAAAAAATTCATTACAGAACTAATCGTTCGATAAAATTTAACATTCTTACAGTAAGATTATCCATAACTGAGAATATAATAATGTAATAAAAGTTATATGGTACAACCTTCTTCAAACTCAAGAACAATACATTTAAAGGCATATCTCTTTATAAATACTAGAGAATTAAAATTAGGAATATGGTACAAGTTGTCTACCTCAAGCATGATAATTTTTTTGACTATATGGATAAACGATTTTAGGTTCTTGGGCTCCAAATCTTCTCCTTTTATTTCACTTTCCTGGTTGAAGGGTTTGGCAAATGAGTTTAGATATTTTTAATATCTAAAAAGCACTAATTCAATCTAACATTGTAGCTCCCAAATTCCCAATGTCATTTTCATCCCCAAACCTTGATTATTTCCTATCTCATATAACGTAACATTCTAAGACTCATTATATTAATCAACTCAAAATTAATTATTATTAATAGAAAATCACCTGGATTTCATATGACATATATCAAAACTATCCTCAAAAGATATTTATTATTTGTTTTGGTCATTCTCTATTGAGGAGGCATTGAAGCCAAGAAGTTCAACATTAATCTTTATGTTGACATTGGAGTCAGATTTGATAAAAAATCTCAAATAAATACTCAAAATATGTATAATCTCAATCATTTTATTTAAAAAATATCAGTGAAATCGATTTACGAATCGGACACCTAACGATTTTGAAATCTCCATTTATATTGATATGTGCATTTTTTTAAGGATTTTTTACAGTGCCCAAAAATTAATTTGTGCAAGTACTAAAATAGAAATACTATGGCGAAGACACTTTGAGATTTGGAGTGATATTGATTCCAGAAAAAATTATTTACTTAGGTCAAAATACGGGTTATTACACTCGCATCCTCGCACCCCTGCTCACATGACATGCTCGCACTCGTGCAATTGCGCACGTCTGCCTCACAGCCCTCACATTTGCAGGTTAGTGGGTCGGGTCCGAGTCAGAATTTATGACCTGTTTGTCTAATCGAGTCGGGTTCCGGATAGAACAATTAAAGGTGTGTCAATTTCATATTTGACCTGAACCCAACTTGAAAACCCATTTTGCCACCATGTTATAAGTGCCTCTACCCCTTAAAAAATGGCAGATTTTTTATTATTGGTGTAGACAATCCTATTATTCAATTTACTGTAAATAAATAGCAGCCTTGTTTCCTCAATCAATGAAAATACAACCAGTAAAAAAAAAAAATTACAACTAGCAGCTATATCATTAACTTGCACACCAAATGTAGAGCTAGACAGACGAGTTGGCTCGCAAGTCAAGCCTCATCAAATTCAAACTTTAGCTCATTTAATATATGAGCTCAATAAAAAGTTGAGCTTGACTCGATTCCATGGGTGGAAACCCATATAGGTTTGATCCCCCCTCAAAATTTATTTCTAAATATGAGAAGGGCAATTTTGAGATTTTATCCACCTAAGAAATTAATTTTGTCAATCCTTAAAATTTATTTGCATATATAAAAGAGGTAATTTTAAAAATTAATGTTTTACACATATGAATATAGAGGTTAGGGGTGTAAACGAGTCGAGTAGTGGCCATATTATTTTTTGCTCGTCAGATAAATGCTCGACTTGAACTTGAGCTCGAGCTCAAAAGAACTTGTCTCACTGTAAACGAGGTTTAGATAAGATTTAAAAATAATTAAATTTATTAAATATATTTAGTATTTATTGCTATTTTAAAATATTTAAATTTAATAAATACAATAAAAGCATTAAAAAAATTTCATGATTATTCGAGTTGGCTCCAATGAGCCGAGTTTCATCAAACTCGAGCTAAATGAGCTTGAGTTTGAGCTCGAGCTTGACTCGTGAACTTAATAAGCTCAACTTGTGATCTCTCTCTCCCTTCCTCCCTTTATTACCCCTCACTGATCTTCTTCCTCCTTCCTTCCAGCCCCCGACCATCGCTCTCTCTCTCTCTAACCTATTCCAAAGCATGAGTCCAACAAAACACAGCAATAGATTCTTCAAGTTCAGATCACCACATATTATCAACTTGTTCTTCTCTTTTCTCTAGAGAGAGAAAGAAAGAAAGACGCATATCCTTTCTCTTTTCTCTCTCTTTCCCTTTTCCCTTTTCCTCCTCCTTCAAACACTAAATAGCAAAGTAGAATACGTATATATTGTGACGTTAAATCAATGGTACAATCCAGCAGCTTCGACTTCTCACGTGACAGAGGTGTGGCTGTAGAGATGGCTGGGATAATGCTAAGAATTGACTACTCAAGACTCTTCTGGCTCCTCTTTGGTGTTTTCTCTTATGAGAACCACGAAGGGAAGCCGAGGATCTAAATTAACTGCACGTTTCAGTGATCTTTCTCTCTCTCTCTCTCTCTCTTCTGCTGCTGCTGCTTCTTCTTCTTCTTCTTCGATTTTCTGTCTTCGTTAATCAGATTGTCTTTGAGTGCAAAGTCTGTCATGTTCGATATCCGGCGGGGCGAGCGGCAGCTCGCCGATGATGACGGGAATGGTTATGTTGAGACTGATCCGACCGGTCGCTACGGGCGGGTAAGTTCATTGCTTCTGTTTTTATGATTTTTAGTTGTTTTAATTTTCTTTTATGAATCCATTGCCTCGGAAATTATTAAAATCCATAGAAAAAATCATCGTAAAAAAAATCTGCTTGAAAAATATGTTTTTTTAGTAGTTTAAATTCATTGCTTCATAAATTATTAAAATCGGTCAGAAAATCCGTCAAATCCGTCAAAAATAAATCAAAGTCCGCTTGGAAAATTTTGGAAATATATTTATCATCATAATCCGTCGGAATTCGACCGTCAAAAATTTGTCAGTGATGAATAATTTTTCTGTAATAAAATTGATTAAGAAGATAAATTTTCTGCATTGAAACTAAGTAATTCCATAGCGAAGGATTGAAGGGTTGATTTTATGATTTGTGCTTTTTTGTGCTAAATTTTGATGAAATAGTTAATTGTTTGATCAATTAATAGCATATAAATTCATAGAAATTGGTATAGACAAATTTTCCTTTTTTCTTTTAGATTCCAGAGAAGAAATTGCATAAACAATTAATAAGAAAGAAATTATTGGTGAGAATAAATTTTAAAATTATTAAATCTATTATAAGATAAGGGTAAAATTTTATATTTAAAATTAATTTATCATAATTAAATTTTGATTAATATATTATTAATCATTTTTCGTCTAAATTAATTTGCTCAAGCTATCAGCATGTGATGGCTATGCTATTGTTTTATATTCAAAAGGTGGTGTTCTTTTGCTATATATATTTTCTAATCCAAAGGTGTATAAAAGCTTATCAAAGCATAATTGATTTTATTATGCACGCCTAGTTACAAATTAAATAGAGATAAAACTAATTGTTTGTTTAGAACCGCTGTAGCATTTTATAAAATTGAATCAATTTCGCTGTTATGATTGCAAAAAGTAGCTTTTCGTCACAGAAATTTTTGAAAAAAAATAAAACGAGAAAAAAGTATTATAGTTGTTGTCTGAAAAAAAATAGTAAGAAAATCTTCTCAAATATGAAAAATTATTACGTGCGGAGTGTCGTATGGACTCCAATTGCCTATTTCTTGTGTACAAAAGAAAAATTTTAGGTGTATTCACATGATTGGATTCCGATTAAAAAATTATGTCCATACTCGATACGTAATAATCTCTTCTCAAACAGACTCTAAGTTAGTAGAAATTATCTTGTTCTGTCACCGGACGGTTCATAGGTCAATCAAGATGCACACGTCACCTAATACACAGTTAAAAAGTAAACTGGCTCCTCCTGATTCGCCTCTGGAAGATATCTGGTGACCGCACGTAATAATTTCATCGGGGCTTCATTTAGGATAGCTTTTAACTGCTATTTTTTTTTTAATTAAAATTTTGTATAGAAAACTTTGTAGAAAATAGTAATAAAACATTCTGAAAATGAAGTTTTAATTTAGTGGTGATAATTATATTATATAGGATGGTGGGGCTCCTTCGCTTGTTCTATCCTCTTTAAATATGCCGAAAATAGTCATCTTCTCTGTCGTCTAATTATATTAAAATAGACAGGTTTCTGTACCGATTACCTTATGCTTAATTTGCTATATTACATATATACCCTCTGCCTCATAGAGATGGTCTTCAACTTCTCCACCATTGCATTTGATTTATATAAATGACATCATTGATTAATACCCACTCCATAAATTAATAATTAAACTAGCTTAGCTGTATCAGATATACATAAATATCTCAGAAAAATAATTGAACTTAATTACATATTAGACCTTGATCCTGCTAGTTGCAATTAAAAATGTATAAATACATAATTAATTTTTTTTAAATATTTTTTAAATTAGTTTTAGCAAGCTGGTTAGACCTAATAAATTAATTTTTATGGTTAATAATATTTTAATTTTAATAATTAATAATAAATAATCCACTATTATTCTTATTGTTTTTTATTAGAATATAAATTTTTATTTACCAAAATGACCATTGTTGATTTCTGCAAATATCTTTTGAGGGCTTGAGATTAGGCGTTATTTCACAGGAAGGAAATAGATAACGACAGCTTCATTAAGCAACAAAAACCTTACGTGTAATATTTGATTTGTTTTGAATAATTAATTTTATTTGATCAATTTTTTATTTTTATTTTTTATATTGATGTTGATTTAATACGTACAAGCTAACCTTAAAAATCTCCTCAATTGTTGATTATTAAATAATATTTTATCCATATAAAATTAAAAGTCTAATTAATATATTAAAAATAAGAAAATTTTCCTATTTCAAATATTTTTAATGACTTGATTTGATGATTGAACTTTCTAGACGTTTTTTTGCTTTAATTATATTATAAAAAATAAAAATTAAAAAGATAAACAATAAAAAATTGATAAAGAAAGGGAGATAGAATTAATTTTTAAGTATTGCAATATCTTGAACTCATTTATTTTGGTATATTTTAAGTTTATTGATATGAACATTTTTTAACGAGCTAGCTTATGATCTAACTAGCTAGTCGAGTCGAGATTGGCTCAAATTTGACTCATTTGCCCATCAAACTTAGCTCAAGAGCCATTTATCAAATTGAGCTCGAGTTGGCTCATAAGTTGGCTCGACTCACTTACACCCATAGTCACACTTTTTTAGCTTATTTGATAATACTTTTTAAAATAATGATAATTAGTATTTGTGCAGCTAAAAAATATTTTCTACTTGAACATATTTATTTGATCATATTTTATACAATAATTATAAGTAAATGTTTTAGGGTTTGTTTGGGACAGCTTTATGATTGTTTTGTTTTTTTAGGAAAACAACCATAATTTTGTTTGACCGTCACTTTCTTGATGCTTTCTCGTTACTTTTCAAAAATCTATGTGGAGCGAAGTTATTTTATTCAATCATAATAGCGAAATTGTTTTCTCCACAACAACTTAACAACCAACTTTATGAAACACTGCGCAGTACGTCATCACAAACAAACTTTTAATTCTTCTATAAAGATGATTATAAGATAGATCGAGATCGGATTAAAAAAAAAAGATTAGCATAAAAATAAATATTTTGAAAATAAAAGAAAAGAAAAGAAAATTCCTATCAAGGTATTCCAAAGGAATTTCTCTTGTGAGAAAAGGAAAGGCAACAATTATTGTAACTTGGAAAGGGATCTTAAAGAACCAAATGCCAATAACACCATAGATTGATCTCTTGCTTGTGTTCCACCCAAAAGGAATGATGGATGTAAAAGAGGTGGATGGGCCCATATAATAATTCAAAGTTATTTGAATAGTGCATTTACAAAGTGGATGGGACTAATTTTGTAGCTCAAATAGTGAGAAATTGGAGGACATGTGATGGATGCCTTGTTAGATAGGAATGTAATTGATTCCTTTGTAATGGGGGGAATTTATTTCAATTTGTGACACCTAAAATTACAAAATTAAATTTGCAAAATGAATGCAAAAAATGTAAATAAATTGAAGAAAGATTTTTGGAATCATGCATGATTTTGGTAGATTTGTAATTATGGAATGTATGATCTAAAAATCAATTTTGCAATATTTTTTTTTTTCAAATTTGAGGAGAAAAATGAAAGTATATTAAGGAGTACAACCAATTAAAGCTAACATTCTTCTAATGAATTTAAAACTATTTAGCTATGAGTTATAGTTACATATTACATAACTAAACATCAATTATTATCCACAAATTGTGGAATGAAAGTTGATTCGTCTTCAGAAAATTTATTTGGTTAGTGTGAATCATGATGCATTATTTATATTAAAAATTTAAGAACTAGATTCAGAATTATCAGAATCTTGATTTTAGTAAACGTATGGTCAAAGTGAGTGTTTTGACAAGATGAACCTAAATATATTAAAATTGATCTGATTTAGGCCAAAAATAAGCTAAAATTAAGTATTTTTTTGTGGATTTTTATTGAAGGGTCAGATGATTTACAAATCTGACATGCTTATAGTCAAATCAAGTAGATTATCAACAAGGCAAATCTAACTAGCAAGATCACATGATTATGAGGCCACTAAGACACTTAAATGTTGAATGAATGGTATAATTATAGGATTCAATATGAGTTATTTGATGGAGTATCATGAAATTTTGACTAAAATTCTCAAAATGTTACTTCCAAAACACTATAAATAGGCCTCCTTTTTTAACATCAATGTGAATGGGATTTGAGTTTGGAGAGCTTAGAGATTTGAAAAACTCTCATTTGACATCATTGATCACTACTAAACTACCCTTTCACTAGACTACTATTATATACTATTGTTCCCCAACAATCATATTTCAATCTTCATTTCTTGATTGTTGTTGTTTGGCTACTATCACTTGAATATCACAATCCTTAACCATCACCCAAGCACGATCGATTGATTCCACCTAGCCACCATCATTCAATAGTTAATGTCTAACTAATACCATCCAACTATCTCATTCTCCATTATTAACCCGACTTGAACCCGACCCAAAAAATTCAAGTTCACGTGGGTTGATCCATTTAATAAATGGGTTGGGGTCATGTTCCAATTTATGACCCATTTGAAAAATCGGGCAGGATCCGGGTCAACCCGCTAACCCAAATTTGGCATGATATCAGGCTACCCACCCGCCTTTGACTTTCATAATCGCATAGCTTCGCCTCCTCTTCCCACTTCGTTGCCTGTGCATCCGCACCACACCCGCACTTACGTTGCGCGTAGCTCGGGCTCGCACCCAAAATCCCCGCACTCGCACTCTCATCCTGAACTAGCGCTCGAACCCAGAACTCGCACTCGTGTCGCGCAGCTCAGGCTAGCTCCTCGCCTTTGCCCCAAAGCTACCCCCCTAGATTGTACGGTCGACACCCTCGCCTCGCTTGCCTGTTGTATGCTCACAACTAGAGTTAGCAGGTCAGGTCCGGGTCTACTGACTCGTTTGCTTAATTGGGTTGGGTTCGAGTTGAACTAGTTAAGTAGGGTCAGTTCCGGGTTCGTCCCAACGGAATTCATCTTGAACCCGATTCGAATACCCATTTTGATACCCCTATTCTCCAACATTCACCTCACATTCAGAGAAATATAAATTTTTATTATATACTTTAAAATTTTATCTTCAATTGAGGGGAAGAGTATACACTTTTAACCTATCCATGTAGTAAATCATTTTATTTTGGCTAAGCCCAATATTTTTTTCCTTTTTCAAAATTTTCAAATAAAAATTCTAATGGCTAATGCTTTATTTCTATTATTGGTGTATACATTTGATCTTCATACAAGGTTAGAGCATAGAAATTCTCTCTTTATCATTATAAAATTTCTAACATGCAAAATGTTTGTCTTTGTTGTTAGAGAAGGTGGTGTTATAAGACATAAATTGTTGTAGGACATAGATAATGTTGTAGAACAGCTAAAGGTGACAAAACGTAGTTTACAATCAATGATAGGTGGCAATAGCGGGGTTAAGGTAGACAATGACATTGGTTAATGATTATTGATTATGGATAATGAATGTTAGAGATGTTAGGTAACAATGGTTAATGATGGACAGCGAGCATCATGTTTGGTCATTGATGTATAATGATGGTTGACAATGTCTGTTGGCAGAGGTCAATGATCGTTGACAATCAATATTATGCGGCACTTGATGGAAAGCATCGACTATGTTTGGCACCTGAATTGGAGTGCTAATAAATAGTCTTGGAATTCTCAGAGTCCTAAAGTTATGTCTTTTTCAATCCTCCCCCAAATAAGTAGAAATAATGCATATTTATAGATTTTTTAAAGGGGCGTGTTTTGGTCAACTCTCTTATCATCCTAGACACTCAAACGACCATTCTCAAGAGATGCCTTTTGATTATTCTAGTCATCTCAGTTCTTAAATGATATTTGACTGTATTTAGCAACTTTTAGCTCATCAGATTCGTTTTGATGAGTAACTTGTTTTGAGTATAAGCACAAAAATTCTAAGGATATTTGTCCCTCTAGATGGCCTTGAAAATATTCTAATTATACTTCCAAGTGCTTAATGCAGTTTCATTTCGACTTGAATAATGACATCTTTGCATCATTAGGTTCGTCTTGCTTAAATGCACTACTTAAATTATAATCTGGTTGAAAATGGAGTTCATAGAATAAGTTCTCAAATTTATTATTTGAATATTCGAATGTTTCGATATTTGAAAAACTGTGTCAAAATTATATATTTGATCTAAAAATATGTGGTTAAAAACTTTGTTTTTTTGTATGCATTATGTACAACTTTTTTTTATAATATTTATTCTAAACTATTGTTTTCACTTCTATTTGTTTATAAATTTCTTATTTTTTTAAAAACATTTATGTGCATGGAAGAAGAAGCCCTTCACAGCTAGATATAGCTTTTGGACTCCAATAGCTATAAAAATTACCAGCTATGAAAATAAGCTTCTAATGATAAAGAAATCTACTAATTTTAGTTTGGATTGAAGTGAGTTTCTTGCATTAGGGTTTTGTTCATTCCTTTGGTTTTCAATCACCTATTGAGATTTTATTTATTTTTTGTTTAAATTTTCAGTTTGATGAGGTGCTGGGAAAAGGAGCCATGAAGACAGTGTATCCTTCTCATTAAATTATTTTATAATTTACAGAATATTTAATGACAAAATTCAATAATTCATAATCATAATGAATATTTTAAATGCTTTATTTTATTTTTTTTTAATTTATAAAATTTTATTACTCTTATTGTTATTTTCTTGTTTTTTTTTTTTTTAATTTTAGAATTTTATGATCACTGGATATAATCAAGCTGCCTTACTATGAAAAGAATAGTCAGTAGTATTTCTCATTGAGTAATTAAACGGATCAAGATAAAGAGAGAAGAAAGTTGAAAATTTTATGAAAAGAGAATAAGCTTTGTTTGGGAAAATATTTTTACCTTTTTCTAAATCAATTTTTTTAATACAAAAAATTTAAATTTAAGAAATTTTTGTTTTAAAAAACTATTTTTGAAAGCAGTAAGCAAGCTACCCCAAACAAAACCTAAGGCTTGGTTTGGAACGGCTTTCTTTTTGCTTATTAAATTAACTTTTTAGTAGAAAAAAATTAATTTTTTTACTAGAAAGCTACTTTAAGCAGTAAGAAAACTGTCCCAAACGAAGCCTAAGATATTGTCTCATCATGCATATTCTCTCTCCTTTCTTTATATTTAGGTTTATTTTGAGACAATTTTCTTATTGCTTTTTAAAATAGCTTTTTATAAAAAAAATTATTCAACTAAATTTTTTGTGATAGAAAACTGTTTTAAAATACAGCAAAAAAACTATACCAAATGAGACCTTTCTTAACTTATTCTCTTACAATTTTTTATCGCATGCTTCTAAAAATTAAGACGAGTATAATATGAATTATTTATATTTGATTTACAAACATACCACCTTATACTACTCTATTTATATATTTAACACATGAAACTTTAATATTACATACATACCACCCATAGTTCATTTTCATGTCAAATATAAGTGGTATAAAAAAATATATTAGTGGTAGGAAAAAATATAAGTTGTATATTTGATATTAAAATAATATAGAGTGGTATACATGTAATATTAAAGTTTAGGGTGTTTGATATTGAAATAGGATATTATAAAGTGGTATGTATGTAAATTTCCCTAAAAGCAAATCCAATGGTTTCAAAGCCCATTTAAATAAAAATTTTATCAACATAATTTTTCTTATAACACTAACATAGATGAATATCCTTAACCATGGGGGACGAATGGGATGATGAAATAAACAGATACAGAGCATTCGATGAGCTAAATGGAATAGAAGTGGCCTGGAACCAGGCCAAGCTATGCGTTGTGATGCAATCCCCTGAAATCCTTCAAAGAATGTACTCCGAAGTTCATCTCCTTAGCACACTGAACCACCACTCCATCATCCAATTCCATGCCTCCTGGATCGACGTCGCCGGCCGCACCTTCAACTTCATCACCGAGATGTTCACCTCCGGCTCCCTTCGCGAGTACGTATAATGTATTTCATGTTGTACAGTAATTCTAAATTTAGGCATTTCATTATAGTAGCGTCCATTTGAGGCTTTCTTGAGGATGAAATGAACATGTTCGCAGATACCGACGAAAGTACCGGCGAGTGGATATCAGGGCAGTAAAGAACTGGTCGCGACAGATACTTGACGGCTTGGTGTTCCTCCACAGTCACGATCCTCCGGTGATCCATCGGGACCTGAAATGCGATAATTTATTTGTTAATGGTCATCTTGGTCAGGTGAAGATTGGGGATTTAGGCCTCGCCGCAGTTTTACGTGGATCTCAATCGGCTCATAGCGTTATTGGGACGCCGGAGTTCATGGCGCCGGAGCTCTATGAGGAGGATTATAACGAGCTGGTTGATATATATTCGTTTGGAATGTGTGTGCTTGAGATGTTGACGGCGGAATATCCTTATAGCGAATGCTCCAACCCTGCACAGATTTACAAGAAAGTTACAGCGGTAATTATAACTCTTTTTTAATTATTATTATGTTAATTGTTGGTGAATATTGGATGATTTGCTTAACTCGCTAAAAAATATGAACATCTTAATTATTTTTTTATCAAATGATTACAATTAAAATTAAGGAGTTTATGCGTTGTGTGTGTGAGTTTGCCTTAAATGGCCTAAATGTCCCAAAAAATTAAGGAGTTTAAAATAAACAGAATATTAAACAAAGCTTAATTAATTTTACAGGGGAGGCTCCCCGATGCATTCTATAAGTTAAAAGATCCGGAGGCGCGGCGGTTCGTCGGCCGGTGCCTGGAGAAGGCTTCGAAGAGGCCGTCGGCTAAGGAGCTACTTTCTGACCCTTTCCTCCAATCTGACGACCGGCATATTGCTCCGGCGATGCCGGCGGCTCCACCCGCGGTGAAGACTAAGAGCTCCGGCGAGCGCCGCCATCATAGCGGTCGGGAAATTGCTGATGAGCTGCAAACAGATATGACTATTACCGGAAATATGAATCCGGATGATGACGCCATTTATCTCAAAGTTCAGATTGCTGACAAACAAGGTAATTAAACCTCCTTGTTCTTTCCGTTGAGCATCAGATTAACAAATTTATTCAGAATTTTTTTTTTGCCCTTTTATAGCTTTTTTCAGCAAAGATTTTATTGCACCAACCGATTAATCTCTCAAACATTGATCGGCAAGAATCATTGATCGGCAAGAATGCTAAATTTGCAGGTCAAGTGAGGCACATATACTTCCCCTTCGACATCATTAGCGACACTCCCATTGACGTCGCGAATGAAATGGTGAAGGAGCTCGAGATAACAGATTGGAAGCCGGCCGACATTGCCAGTATGATCGCCAGAGAAATCATGAACTTAGTGCCTGACTGGAAGGAGAATAGCCACCATGAATACGACTTTGGAGAAGAAGTTGATGAATATGGCCACCACCCTTTTCACTATCTCTCCTCGCCCACTTCTACTCATGAGAGCTCTGTATTTAGTGCTGGAAACTATCATGGAATCAATCCCCGGCTCAGCGATCCTTGCAAAGTTGCAGACTGGCTTCAGGGTAAGAGCTGATCAACTCATTCAATAATACTTTTGTTTTCTTTCCTGTTTATGAAATTAGTTTTTGAGGATTAAATGATATAGATGAGACTTTTGAGAGCTTTTTCAGAGATTTCTTCATTGCAGTATTGCAAAATGTTTGACCTTTTACAGTGTTTTCTGTATAATTCTGATCAATTTTGTGTAATATTTAGACAGTTTAGTTAATTATATGGTGATTAAGGCTGCGTTTGGGACGGCTTTTGTATTGCTTCTTAAAACAGCTTTTTTAAGTATAAAAATTAAGTTTTTTTAAACTAGAAAACTGCTTTAAAAAGCAGTAAGAATGCCGTCCCAACGAAGCCTAAGTAAAGATTATAAAAGTAAGATATCTTCAATGAAATATTGTCAAAATGTTTAACTTCAGCAGTGTTATGTAAGTAAATTTCCCTATAGTAATTTGTGTTCCTATGCTATTTATTGAACTAATTCTAACAACTGAGAACCACTTATCAACAGAAGATGACACAAGCTCAGTGCGCTCAGGAATGTACTCTGCCATTAACTACAGCTCAGGAAATGAACTGGACTGTGAATTGAGCTCTAACCAAACAAACTTATCTGCTGAATGCAGTATCAAATCAGCCAGGAATGACTCCATGAAAAGCCATGGAATATACACCATGCTCCACTCTAACCTTCAGAGGCAAGGTTCTCTATTGCAGCCACCACCGCCGGAATCCAGCCGGCCCTCAGCCACCCATGCCGGAAAGAGGCCGGTCGATGACCGGCGGCTTCTGAGAAACCGATCAATGGTAGACCTTAGAAGCCAGTTGCTGCATCAAACTCTTGTTGAAGAGCTTAACAAGAGGCTCTTCAAAACTGTGGGAGCTGTTGAGAACATTGGATTTCAAATGCCCTGTGATGGATCAAGCAAGAGATCCTCCTCCAAAAAGCAAGTGAAGAAATTGGGAAAATAGTTCAACTTCTTTGTTTTTCCTCAACGTGTCTGGTTTTTGTAAATATAGGAGTTTATGGTTTGGATTTATATGTTTGATCTTTGGTTTTATTTTTAGGTGTTGATGTTGTTCTATGTTTTTGTAAATATGATAAGTGAAAAAGTTTTGTTGATAAATGTTTTGTGAGAAAGATGTGGAGATTTCCATTTTTATGAATAAAGATGGGAGAGTTCTGAAATAGTACTCTCCTTTGGCAAGCTCTGTAAGATAAAGAAATTGCCAATAAATATGTTGTAAATATGAAATTTGTATGTATTGGCTTTTGAGTGCTGCTATTTCTATTTTAATTGTTGAAGCTTACTCAGATTTTGGGTTTAACACTTGCTCTTTCTTGTATTCTCAAATTTTTATTGTTCTTTGGTTTTTGGATGGTTATCATCTCAACTCATGTGAGTGCATTGATCATTGTTGACCTCGTTTTTGTCCTGATTTGCCCTCGACTGTGTTTGATCGTGTTGATCGTGCCTCGTCGAGCCCGATTTGATTCGAATCGACATTAATTTGAGTTTGATTTATTTTATCTTATTTTATTGAATTAATTTTGGGTTGAGTTGAGGCGAGCTCGAGTTGACCCGGATCGAACCAGACCTGACTCGATTTTGAACCTGATTTCAGTCCCTTGGGTATAGCTAAATCCTAATCCAGGTTTGATCGACTTTCTAAACCAATTTGAATCCCACCGTCGGATCGAGAATTTTGATCAAATGGCTCCAATCTCCGCTCTCCCTTGGTGCCCTAATTGAGGCAGAAGCCCCCATCTCACTCACTCTCTCGGTCTCTTCTCTACTCGGACGACACCAGGAGGCCCAAGACCTCCATCTCTCTGGAACTCTCTCGCGATCCCCCCCTCTCTCTCAGTCTGTTCGGTCCGGAGACGTCAAAGGGAGCGAAGCATTCGCTCCCTCTCTCACACTCGATCTCTCTCTGTTCGCGAAAGGAGCCAGGCGGAAACCCCCTTCCCCTTTCATTTATGCTGTTCGTGAGCCCTAGAGGAGCGGACCCCGCCCTCTCTCTGGTTTGCAGAAGCCAAAGGAGTCCGAAGACTCCTTGTCTCCTCCCGATTTCGGGAACCCCGACGGTATTCCCCTCTTCCGTTCGACTCCTACCTTGGCTGTGGGCTTCACGCCTTCTGTGAGAAGCCGGCCAAGTCCCCCTCTCTTTCGTCGCTGCCCTTCGCACGGACCGAACCCATGCCGAATTCTCTCGTCTCCCCGATCTCCTCTAGGTCGCACAGCTCCAGACCGAACCCGACGACTCGGCTTCGTCTCCCCTGTTCTAGCCAACCGATCCCTTTCAAAACAGCAGGTATACCTTCTTCACATCCTTTTCCTTCACATTCTTCTTCTTCATTCCACTTCTTCTTCCAAAGTATCATTTCAGTCAATTTTGCCTTCTCCTGTGAGAGACGTTTCATTAGAAGAGATTAAAAAAAAAGACTGTATTTGTTCTTTTACAAACAGATTGTTATGTGATGAGATCTAGCTCTTTGACTTTGTTTTAGATACTTTTGTGATGTTAAGTTCATGCTTAGGTTATGAGGTATTGTTCTTTACAAAGCCCTCAGAAGATCAATGCATTAGTGAGTTACTTTATATCTTTACTCTATGATTCCATAATTAAAGGTTTAAAGAAAACTACTCCAATATTTGGAAGAATGACTGCTCTCGTTCATGTCAATGTTTAGTAAGTTTAATGAGCTTTACATAAGTTATTTTAGTGGTAATCTCAAACGAAATCCTATGAATATCTGTGATGGTAAAGTGACTCGTGCCGTGATGATTTTGTAAACTTTGTATGTCAAGTATTCGTTGAAATGCCACTAAAGAGAAATGCTAAGCTGTTTGGCTCATGAGCTTTGAATAGCCAACATGCCAGAGTTCATATTTTCTTCCCTTAATGGAGAAGTTGATTCCTCGCTCAGAAGTTTATTTCTATGTTGGGGAAGAATTCCCATGTATGTTCTTAAAAGAATAGAATGATCTTGTATTGTTATAGACTTTATATGGAAACATTTCTTGCTTCTCTGAATTTTGACATTGAAGGGTACCTCTTGCGATTAGTGAACAATATCATCTCTTGGCTTTATAATTTGTGTCGAAGGATGGTTTATATTTTGTTGCATACTACCCTCACACATGGGAAAATTTCAATAATCCTTCCACACATTGGCAGTATTAGTTGTTATATAATTTGGAAAGGAGTGATGACTATTCGTAAGTCTTTCATAAAGTATTTTTAGAGATATGTTGGAGAGTTGTGTTTATTCATACACCTTTGACAAGCATGCATAAGTTTAGAGGTGTTAGAGAATATTCATAATTCTCAAATATGAGTTTTTCGTAGCTTTAAGCGTAGTTTTACTCTTTGTCGGTTGGAGTATCCCCTTGAATTTCAAAAAAGAGATGAAACGGCCTCGAGTTACATTTCTACTTCCAATTTTATTTGGAGGATAGTGATAGGTTGGAATATAAATATTTTCTAGGTTTGTTTTTACTCATTGGAGCCTTATATGAAAAGCATGTGGGCAATTACATGATAATACCTCTTTTGTTGAATTTTGAGAGAATAAGCTTGTATCAAACTTCTTTTTCGTAATTGCATTCTTGGTTGAAGTTTAATGTCAAATAAGTTGTTTGCTTACTACTTGATTCAAAAAGGCATGGCTTTGGGCTTTCACTCTCAAAATATATATAGTTCCATTTATCTCATTTTGTTAAAAATAATTTCATGAGTTACTTTTGGGATGAAAATTCTATGACTTGTTTTATGCCAAAAATTTTATTAAGTTCTTCTATGTTTGGAGAGTTTTGTAGAATACACCATGTTGAAGAGTATCTTTTGGGCTTAGATGTTGGAGGGCATTTATCAATTTTATGTTTCGTATGAAAGTTGTATGTATAAATTTAATGCAATGACGTTATGAAACTTTATCTTTTGGTGAGTCTTATAAGTGCCTTGGAAGAAAATTTGGGAATGGTTGCAAAATTTATTGTGTACATTTGTGACCCATTGAAATAAAAATGAAGGAGAAATAGTTTATGATGTCTCATGTGGCGATTGGAGAAATGAAAATGGGAGTAATATTTCGCACCAAATAGAAATTGTTGTAAAGTGATTCATATTGTAATTGGGGCATTGCTTCTAACATGTTGGGGGAAGCGAACTAGCTCCAAAATATCACCCTTCTTATTTATGTTTGACTCAAAGTGGATTGAAATAAAGTGGTGAGATTTCTTTGTACTCTATTGGATTTTTGGTGGCACACAACATATAAAATAGGAATTTGTTAAAAGATCTTATGAATCGTTTTGTGACTTAAAGACTTATATGGTTCAAATTATATCAGAAGATCTATGACTTGTTTCATGATTAGAAGATTTTTTTTAGGTTATTTTATGTTTGTGTTTTATTCTATGTTTAAAAGAGCTTTGGTTTGTTTTATGTTGGGAAGCTCTGTGACTTATTTCAGGTTGGAAAATTCCTAGACTTGCACCATATTGGAGTGTCTCATGAGTTTCTTTATGGTTGGAAGTTTTACGAAAAGCTTCATGAATTGTTTTCTCTCGAAAAATTCTACTACGAGTTTCATGAATGTTTTATAATGAAAAGGTTTTGTGAAGCTTCCTTGTTAGGAAGTTTTAACGAATTCACCCCACTCCAAATAAAATAAAGAAGCACTTGATTGTTGTCTTCGTGTCAAAATGGCTTTGGTAAATTGCTTATGGGAAGATTTCTACGCATTGTTTCATTTTGGAGAATTTTCATAAGATATTGTTTTGGGTCAATGATTTCTTGAAATGGATTAGTGTTAGAATTTTCTTTAGATCTCTCTTTTTTTAGATGAGGTAATCTATCTTATATGAATTTGTATCTCTTTTACTAATGCTTGCTTTTAAAATTGAGATTTGGATGAATGTGGTATATTGGAAGAGATGTTGTTTTAGTTTTAGTTTTGGGAACTTGAGTTTCCCTTGTTGCTTTGAGTTTGGTAGGGAATAGTTTGTGTAGTCGAGTCGGGTACGTATCAAGTGCTGAGTTTGGATTGTGGGAACAGTAAAGGGCATTGTAAATGCCTTCTTTCCATTCGTATTATATCGAATCGGGGAGGAGGCTATTTTAAAGACACACTTGGCTTCAAAGAAGTGTGTCTAAAACAACAATGCCTATATTCCTTTTCTTCCTGATTTTTATTCTTTTCTTTCTATCGTGTTTTTCATTCTTTTTCTTTACTTCTTGCTTTCCTACTGTTTGGTTATTTGTATTGTATTTTTTCCATGCTTAAATCCTAAACATTAGTGACACATGTATAAAAGTCCTAAGGTTAGAAAACAAAAAACCTCTTTTAATCCTACAACTTTAGTGACACATAAGCAGACAAAAAATTAAGGACCGAGTCTTTAGAAAACATAGACTTAGGTGCCATTGTTCCTAATCAAATAATAATATATAGGATAGAGACATCAGAACATAGAAATATTTAAAGTGACACTTTTTCCTAGGTTTGCATGCCTTAATCTGTTAATAAACCGACCAATCGAATCAATCATAACCCAGGCTTCTAAAAATGTATCAAAACATTTTTATTCTTAATCCAACCCTAATAATGAATATAACTACTAAACTGCAAAAATTTCAAATTCAAATAAACTGATCCCCTAAACAATCTTAAACAACCTAAAAGCTTAAAAGATGTAGAATTTAAATTAGGAGAGTAAACTTAAACTAAAATTAGTCAAACATAAAAAGACTTAAATAAAATTCAAAGCTTAATCCAAACTCACTTTATTAATTAATAAAACACCCCACTACTAGTTTAAAATTACCTTTAATATTAAGTCAGGGTGAATCAAAACCTAACCTAAACTAAAATGAAATCATTAAAGAATTTAATTAAGAGATTCAATTATAACTCAAAGTTTAATAAACTCAATCTAAAATCCATCAAAACTCTTAAATCAATCTTTTAAAATCAGTCAATAAAACCCCTTTTAATATATAACAATCACTCACAAAGATAAGTTTATTGGATGGACATACTCCGAGTGCGGAGCTAATGTCCTAAGGAGGCCTGGTTCCTTCGAGCATGGTGGCACAACGCCACGGAAGATTCGGACTTGAGTGGCCAAAACTTTAAAACTTAATTGATTATTAATGATTTGAATTCAAACATCAATCGATAATAAACTGCCTAATTCATCTTTCTTTCCTAATTTATAACTATTGAATAATTCAATCAAATCCTAAATAAAATCTCTTAAAATCAATCTCTAAATGTACTAATATTTAG